TGCTGGGTGGATCTCAGGTGAACCGACCCCTGCTCATGCCACGCGGGGAGAATTCCTAATGTCGGCACGGGAAAAGGATTTCGGCAGGAATATCACAACAATGAAGAATCGGCAACGCAGAGCATTTCTCGATACCGACGGTCAGGTAAAATCAGGAATTTAGATTCAGCACTTTCCGTGACAAAAACTATGGCTTTTGGTCGACCAACCGTAGCCTTAAATAAAATGGATGATTTGTGGCCTCGGCGATGGCGTAAAACCAACAGGGAAAGGCGAAGAAGCTAAGCCGCGTGAGCGCGTGAAAGTAGTGACGCCATGTAACCACATAAGCTAAAAACGTCGTATTCTTCTTCTAAGGAAACTTCTTAATAAGCTCGTCATAAGCTAAGATCATTGGCGCCTATTATAGGAAGAGCAGAGGCAAGCTTGCGATCGCACGAGTTGAGCAATTCCCGCCTTGTGAGGGTCGACACAGTACATAGCCATTAATAATTTACAACTATGCCTATGTTGAGAGAGCCATGCCGGCGAGCGAGTGATGTGATGATGTTGATCACTTGGAGCCTGCCGCCCAGCCGAAAGAAGGAAAGTCAGGGAAGGGAAGGGGGAAGGTATGTATTGTGGGAGGGTGAGGGCGTGTCACGTGTAGCCCGTTAGCGCTAAGTACCATACCCAACCGATTGTGATTCTGCTGGAACGCCGGAAATCTCAAAACAACTCCTTGAGACATGGTTGGATGAACTGTGAAGACATGCCGCTAGTGTTCACTTTCACATATACACGAAGAGATCGGTTTGATGCGGTGAAGTGAGCAAACAAATGGGCCATGCTGACGTGACGAAAGTTGGTACCAACCCCACGAGAACACTCAAGTCACAGTGTTACGGGTGCAATGGATCGAGGTAGCGAGGATTGCACTAAGGTGTCAAACGAGTACAAAATGTGAGTGAAGGCATGAGCGAACATTTATACGCGAAACATGCAAACGGTAACGCGGTGCGTGCAAGCTAGCTAGTGCTGCGCTGACAGCGAGGCTCGGGCTAGTCCCGAAGCGTAGGCCGACACGGCCGGGCCAGCAGTGCGAGGTTTGGTGAAACAGTGCGCACGAAGTTGGCGAAGCCCCGTTAGCAGTAACGGGCGAACAACGGCTGCTGCTGTACGCGATGTTGTAGGGCGCGCTAAGGAATGGCGAGAAAATTCCTTACACTACCCCCCCCCCCTCAAGAAGCCCCCTCCGCTACGCGAGTGCGTGTATATCGCGGAAACCCCGGCTCCTCAGGTACACTTGCAGGGCAGGGTGGTTTTCGATGTTGGCCAGGGGCACCCAGCTATCATCAGTTGGCGTGCGGTCCTTCCAGCGAACGAGGAATTCAATCCTCCTGATTCCCGTGGGGTGTCGAATTCGATGGCTCTGGATTTTTTCGGGCTCGATGATCGGCTCCGATGCAGGGCGAGTCATAGATGGCGGATGGTGACGAGGCAGTTGGCTTGTGGTTGGGATGTATGGGCGAAGCAGGCTGACGTGGAATGAAGGGCTGATGTACCAGTCTGTCGGCAACAGTAGGTGGGCTGTCACTGGGGTAATCATGCTGATTTGGAATGGTCCACAGTAGCGCGGTCGCAATTTCGGTACGACGGGCAGTCTTAAGTTCTGTGTGTCGAGCAGTACGTAGTCTCCTGACTGGTACGTGACTGGGCGGCGGGGGCGGTCAGCGTTGCGCTTAGCGATGACATTTGCCTTTTTAATTGCTTCGGCGGCTCTGGTGCGGGCAGCTTGCAGAATTTCAGCGAATTGCTATGCACGTGGCGTTGGGTTGTCCGGACTCGGCGTCATGGGCACTGTAGGGTTTTGGGGTTTAGGGTTTAGTCGGGGCTGTAAATCAGGATGTCGTCGAGGTACACGATGACACACTTATCTAAAAGCGGGCGGAAGGCTTCGTTCATGGTCGTTTGAAAAGTGGTGGGGGCGTTGGTCAGTCCGAAGGACATGACTGTGTATTTGAAGGATCCGTAGCGTGTTCGAAAGGCTATCTTGGGGCAGTCGGGTGGGTTGACGCGAATCTGGTGGTAACCTCCCCTAAGGTCGATTTTCGAGAAAACCTGGGCTGTGCGCAGTTGGTCGATCAGTTCGTCGGCTCGCGGGATGGGGTAACGGGATTTAATGGTAACCCTGTTCAGTGCTCTGTAGTCTATGTACATGCGAAAACCCCCGTCCTTCTTCGGCATGAACAGTATCGGTGTTGCGAAGGGTGACGAACTCGGGCGAATGAACTCCATTTCAAGCAGGTAATCCAGCTGCTTTCTCAGTTCGTCCAGTTCAGGTTGGGTCAGTCGGAATTGTCGCTGTAATGTCGGCTGTGCCCCCGGTTCTAGTTCTATCCTGTGGTCGTGCGGTCGTTGAGGTGGCAGTCCCGTCGGCAGATCGTCCGGAAAAATGTCACTGTACTGCTTCAGGAGTGCTGCCAGGTCATCCGGTACGTCGGCTAGCAGTTTCTGTAAACCCCCCCCTTTGTCTGCTGCCTCGGCTTCCCGAATGTCAACCACGTACACGTCAGCCCCTGCCGCTACGGCGCATTTCATCGTGATCGCGTTGACACGTACCGACGAACACTCAGGCGAGCCCCAGCGAGGTAAGGCGATGTTGTTACCGTTCACTCGCACGGTGCAGTCACCCGTCGTCCAGTCGATTCGCGGATTGTGTCGTCGCAGCCAATCACGACCGAGTAAAATGTCGGTTCCGTCGAGGGTCGTTGCAAGCATTTCCTGGCTAAACGTGAAGTTACCCCCGCATCGAATCCGAACCCGGTCTACGCGTTCCCGTATCGCCAGTGGCGTGCCGTCGACCAGTCTTGCGTCAATCTCAGGTAAGCATCTGTCCAGTGGCAGTTTCAGTTTCCGTGCTGTGGCAGTGTTGATAAGGCTGTGGCTGGCTCTCCCGTCTACGAAGATTTTAACTAAGTCGGTCCCGATTTTCCCACTAAGCAGTATGGGGCTGTCTACTGTAGTACCCTCCTTATTCGGCCGGGTGTGGTCGATTGCGTGAACCGGCACAATCACTCGGTGAGGGTCGGTTGGGTCGGGCGAGTGGCGTGACCTGTCAGTAGAGGGCCCGTCTGCTACTGACTCCCAGCGTTTCCCTGCTGCTTGGTCTGTTTCTGCTGCTCAGCTTCCCCCTTTCCCTTAGCGTTTTCCGGGCATTCGCTCTTACGGTGTCCCGGCCGATTGCACGCGAAGCAGCGCCCTTTGAACGGTGCGGCAGCGGCATTCGCGGCGGCGGCACGTATCGTAGCGCCCTCGTTCGTCCCACGAGACCGATGTCCCCAGTTGTTGCTTCCGTAGGACCCCGGTCTCTGTCGGCGGAAGAAATCGAGCTTCTCCGCCATGGCGAGAATCTCCTGAAAATCGGTGACGCCGCGAAGTTGGATTTCCTGAGCGATGTCGTGCTTCAGGCCGCCGATGTAGCGGTCGATGCGCTCGCTCTCGTGCATGTAACCCACTTGCTCGCATAGCGCCAGAAACCCGCTCGTGTAGTCCTGGACGGAACCGAGTTGGCGCCAAGTGCGGAGCTTCTGTCGCGCCGCGATCGAAGCCGCAATTGGCTCAAACCGAGCGCGCAGACCTGCGCACCACGCGTCCCACGTGCGATATTGGGGCACCTCCACGAAATACAACGGCGCCCAGGGTCCGGTTTGTCCTTCCCGTGTCGGTAGAGTCGCGTAGTCCACCGGCTTCGTGACGATGACACGCCACCAGTCCATGGCGGGTCCTCGCAGCAACGACACAACGTAACGAATCTTCGCCGTATCCTCTGAGACGTAGTTCGCGTTGAAGAAGACGTTCAACGTGAATAGCCACGCCTGAACGGTAGGACCACCCCGTTGACTCGGGTCAAAGCATGGCGGATGCTGCGGCTTCAGCGGCATCAGCGACGGTAGTGTTGATTCGCCAGCCGGCACAGAAATCGTGACTCGAGGCTGACTCCTGGCCGCATTCGTCGCGTCGGGGTGTGTCGTGCCGTGGTCGTCGTCTCCGTCGTGGCAGACGATGCCATCACTGGCCGCGCTCGCGGGTTGCCCCACACTTCCATGTTGCGATGTCTGTGGCGCGGGCTCTACCGGAGTGCTAGGTGCTTGAGATTGTGCTTGCTGTGCTCTTGCGACGTCATTTTGGAGGGACGTACGTTCTGCCGTCAGCGCCGCGATTTCTTCGGAGCTTTCGCGGATTTGCCGCAGCAGTTCGTTCAAGTGCTCCTGCGTGAGGGTGGTGACGTCGATGTGTTCGGCCATTACGAAGGGCGTCGGCTCGGCTTAGTCTAGGCGCAGTCGTGGCTGCACGCGTTTACGAGAGAACGCGAGGACATCGGCTCCTAGGGGCTAAGGTGCGTGAGTCCCTTCGAGTGAAAAATCAAAAGTTGATTTCCTGGGGTGCGGAGATGCGCGGTCCGAAAAGAAAAGAGGCTCTGATACCAAGTGTTACGGGTGCAATGGATCGAGGTAGCGAGGATTGCACTAAGGTGTCAAACGAGTACAAAATGTGAGCGAAGGCATGAGCGAACATTTATACGCGAAACATGCAAATGGTAACGCGGTGCGTAAGAGCTAGCTAGTGCTGCGCTGGCAACGAGGCTCGGGCTAGTCCCGAAGCGTAGGCCGACACGGCCGGGCCAGCAGTGCGAGGTTTGGTGAAACAGTGCGCGCGAAGTTGGCGAAGCCTTGTTAGCAGTAACGGGCGAACACCGGCTGCTGCTTTACGCGATGTTGTAGGGCGCGCTAAGGAATGGCGAGAAAATTCCTTACACACAGTCGTGTTACACTAGACTTCCTTATTGTCTCCTTTTACCGTAGATGTAGCTTGACTTGTCCTGCAGCTTACCATACCCATCCAATGGCACACTCAATAATAAACTGGACAACCTCCTTTAAGATGTGTACATGCCAATAGGCAATTGACTACGAATAACGTATAATCACGGCATCCATCCATGCCAAGTTGATATTTTTTCATTGAAGCGAAGGTGGTAGTGTAGCAATCATATGCTCAATTTTCTCCACCACCTGTGCGGCCGTCGGCCGTTGCTTCACATCCTGCTGAAGCATCCACTCCACCAGCCTATGGAACGACGCGGGGTACCCCACCACCTCCCCTCCTGCTCCTCCCGCAGCAGAGAAACCAGAAAAGTCACCTCCAGACGAACCAGGAGCGTCCATTAGAGCAGGGGAGGGAGAGGAGGAGGAGGCGGGGAGGGGTGGATGTGGCCATTTGATGGTGCCGCTCATAACTGCGAGCTGCAGGCTGCCTCCTGATTCGCCTAGGGAGAACTCGAAAGGGGACTGCCCATACCTGGTTAAGAACAGAGAGATAAAGAGGGGGAGAAATGCGGAGAAATGGAGAGAAAAGGCGAGGGAGCGGAGGCAGGAAGCAAGAGGAGAAAGCGGGATTGGGAAGAAATGGGGAGAAAGGGGGAGAAGAACAGGGAGATGAGAGAGGAGGAAGAGGTGGGAAGGGGCGGGTGGGGCCATTTGATGGTGCCGCTCATAACTGCGAGCTGCAGGCTGCCTCCTGACTCGCCTAGAGAGAACTCAAAGGGGGACTGGCCGTACCTGGTTAAGAACAGAGAGATAAAGAGGGGGAGAAATGCGGAGAAACGGAGAGAAAGGGAGGGGGAGCGGGGGCAGGAAGCAAGGGGGGTAAGGGGGAGGGGGGAGAAAAGGGGAGAAAGGGGGAGAAAAGGGGGAGATGGGGGAGGAGGAGGAGGCGGGGAGGGGCGGGTGGGGCCATTTGATGGTTCCACTCATAACTGCGAGCTGCAGGCTGCCTCCTGATTCCCCTAGGGAGAACTCGAAAGGGGACTGCCCATACCTGGTTAAGAACAGAGAAATAAAGAGGGGGAGAAATGCGGAGAAATGGAGAGAAAAGGCGAGGGAGTGGAGGCAGGAAGCAAGAGGAGAAAGCGGGATTGGGAAGAAATGGGGAGAAAGGGGGAGAAGAACAGGGAGATGAGAGAGGAGGAAGGGGTGGGAAGGGGCGGGTGGGCCCATTTGATGGTGCCGCTCATAACTGCGAGCTGCAGGCTGCCTCCTGACTCGCCCAGGGAGAACTCGAAAGGGGACTGGCCATACCTGGGGTTTGAGAAAGAAGAGAAAAAGAGGCAATGGGAAAAAAGAGGGGGGGGGGGGGGGGGGGGGGAGGGGGAGATAAGGGAGAGGAAGTGGCAGGTAGGTGGGGAGGGGCCGGTGGGGGCCATTTGATGGTTCCATGCATAACTGCAAGCTGCAGGCTGCCTCCTGACTCGGCCAGGGAAAACTCGAAATCGGACTGCCCATACCTGGGGTTCAGAAACGAGAGAAAAGAGTGAGGAAAAAAACAAGGAACAAACTGGGGTTGAGAAGGGAGGGAAGGTAAGAGTGGTTTGGAATGAGAATTATGGTATGTGTGGAGAAAGAGGACGTTCAGGGAGCTGCTCCCTTACGAGAATACACATATCGTCACAATTACCCACAGCCACTGTTGCATAGCTCGTTGTCAACTCTGCCTACAGTCACACTCACATGGTGGCGTAGAGGGTGCATCCCAGCGATTACACGCCATTCTATGCCACCCTGCCTCGACTTACAATCACAATACTGATATGCTCAACTGCCTACAGTCACACTCACATGGTGGCTTAGCGAGTGCATCCCAGCGATTACACGTCACTCGGGCAACCCCTTTGAGTCAACTCAAAAGCCACCTTGTCACACTCACATGGTGGCTTAGAGAGTGCATCCCAGCGATTACACGTCACTCGGGCAACCCCTTTGAGTCAACTCAAAAGCCACCTTGTCACACTCACATGGTGGCTTAGAGAGTGCATCCCAGCGATTACACGTCACTCGGGCAACCCCTTTGAGTCAACTCAAAAGCCACCTTGTCACACTCACATGATGGCTTAGAGAGTGCATCCCAGCGATTACACGTCACTCGGGCAACCCCTTTGAGTCAACTCAAAAGCCACCTTGTCACACTCACATGGTGGCTTAGAGAGTGCATCCCAGCGATTACACGTCACTCGGGCAACCCCTTTGAGTCAACTCCAAAGCCACCTTGTCACACTCACATGGTGGCTTAGAGGGTGCATCCCAGCGACCACACGTCACTCCTCTCATCAATATCCATCTCACTCGGGCAGTCCCAAAACTCTGACACTCAGTGAACCGCTGAACAGTGCTGCGGCGCTCATTACAGTCACATCAGCCTACAGTCACACTCACATGGTGGCATAGAGAGTGCATCCCAGCGACCATACGGCACTCTATGTCTCCCTGCCTACAGTCACTGTCACATTACTGAGATACAAGTCTGCCTGCAATCACACCAGCATACAGTCACACCTGCCTCTAGTCACATCCGCCTACAGTCACACTCACATGGTGGCATAGAGGGTGCATCCCAGCGACCACACGTCACTCCTCTCATCAATATCCATCTCACTCGGGCAGTCCCAAAACTCTGGTGCTCGGTACGCTGCTGAACAGTGCTGCGCCGCCCATTCCTGTGACGGAATCAAAGCCAGCAAACGAAAGGAATATAGAGAGAAAAAAGCAGGTCAGCTAAGAAATCCGCTGAGCTCTAAACGCGTCTGAACAGTGCTAATTTCCCCCCAAAAAAGGATCTGTTTGAGAGAACAGATTAGATCCAGAGAAGGAAGGGGAGAGAATGCAAAACACAAGACTAGGGCAGAGTCATAAGTTAGGATCTCAGCATGTTCATGCTTTTGAAAGAAAGGAAAGAATAGAAAAGTAAAAACAGTGACCTGCAAGGACAAGGCCTGGTTGCGGGAGGTGATGTGTCTCCTGGCAGGCGTGGTGGAGCCAAAGTCCAGAATCGTCACCACAATGTGTGGCAGGAAAAACACGCATGCCCATTCATACGTACCTGCAAAGACAAGACCTGGTTGCGGGAGGTGATGTGTATCCTGGGAGGAGTGGTGGAGCCGAAGTCCATAATCGCCACGGCAACATCTGATGCCGACGCTGTATACTTCAGTGTACCCAGTACATGCATGCTAAGAGGCAGTGTGAGGTAGTGAGAGGTAGTGAGAGGTTATGAGCGGCGCTGAGAGGAAGTGAGAGGGACTGACCTGCAAGGACAGGGCCTGATTGCGAGAGGTGATGTGTCTCCTGGCAGGAGTGGTGGAGCCAAAGTCCATAATCGCCACAGCAACATCCGATGCCGATGCTGTATAGTTCAGTGTACCCAGTGCATGCATGCTAAGAGGCAGTGAGAGGGAGTGATGTGCCTCCTGGCCGAAGTGGTGGACCCGAAGTCGATAATCTGATGCCGATGCTGTATACTTCAGTGTACCCAGTGCATGCATGCTAAGAGGCAGTGAGAGGTAGTGAGAGGTTATGAGCGGCACTGAGAGGAAGTGAGAGGTAGTGAGAGGTAGTGAGAGTTAGTGAGAGGTAGTGAGAGGTAGTGAGAGGTAGTGAGAGGTAGTGAGAGGTTGTGAGCGGCGCTGCGAGGAAGTGAGAGGCACTCACCTGCAACGACAGGGCCTGGTTGCGAGAGGTGATGTGTCTCCTGGCAGGAGTGGTGGAGCCGAAGTCCATAATCGCCACCGCAACATCCGATGCCGATGCCGTTGGTAACCGCTCCAATGGCACTCCCTCCCCTGCTCTCTCCCCTGCTCCCTCGCCTCCTGCTGCTCCTCCTACTACTCCTGCTGCTTCTACCCCCCCGTTCCGCCCACCTGTGCTAGCCTTTCCTGCTTCTCCCGCTTCTCCTCCTCCCGTAGCAGTACCAGCAGCAGAGGGAAATGCAGGAAAGGCACCACCGCCACCACTACCACCGGGGGCAGGAGAACCAGCACCAGCACCACTACTGCCTAGACCTGTTATAAAAGCATCATCTCTCTCTGCTACACCTGTCATGCAGATACCATCCCAACCACCTTTACCTATCCCCCCTGTGGCCCCGTGTCCTCCCCCAAAGGCTATGAGAATGTTCCCTGGCTTGACGTCGTTGTGGGCTAGAGGGGGCAAGCATGCATGCATGTGTGCAAGGCCGGAGGCAACCTGAGAAGAAAGGGAGGGGATAGGGGAAGGAGAGGGGAAAAAGAGCTAGGCTATGAGGACGCTTCCTGGCTTGACGTCGTTGTGGGCTAGAGGGGGCGAGCATGCATGCATGTGTGCAAGGCCACATGCAACCTGGGAAGAAACGAAGGGGAAAGATTGGGAAGTGGGGAGGGGTATATGCCATTGTGTGCACACATAGCGCACTCCCTGTGACTCTGTGCCTACCAAATGCTATGACCAATGTATGCATGCAAAGACGTGACTGTGAGCATTTGCCACAGTGGGGCATGTGTGTGTGTAATATACAGTCGGGCATCGCCATGAAGCACGCGTAAACGTAGCAAGACGATGAAGCATGCGTAAATGTAGCAAGACGATGAAGCATGCGTAAACGTAGCAAGACGATGAAGCATGCGTAAACGTAGCAAGACGATGAAGCATGCGTAAACGTATCAAGACGATGAAGCATGCGTAAACGTAGCAAGACGATGAAGCATTCGTCAACGTAGCAAGACGATGAAGCATGCATAAACGTAGCAAGACGATGAAGCACGCGTAAACGTAGCAAGGCGATGAAGCATGCGTAAACGTAGCAAGACGATGAAGCATGCCTAAACGTATCAAGACGATGAAGCATGCGTAAACGTAGCAAGACGATGAAGCATGCGTAAACGTAGCAAGACGATGAAGCATGCGTAAACGTAGCAAGACGATGAAGCATGCGTAAACGTATCAAGACGATGAAGCATGCGTAAACGTAGCAAGACGATGAAGCATGCGTAACCGTAGCAAGACGATGAAGCATGCGTAAACGTAGCAAGACGATGAAGCATGCATAAACGTAGCAAGACGATGAAGCATGCGTAAACGTAGCAAGACGATGAAGCATGCGTAAACGTAGCAAGACGATGAAGCATGCGTCAACGTAGCAAGACGATGAAGCATGCATAACTGCTAGAGTGGGGCATTCGAGAGAAAAGCAAACAGAACCAATACCTGGCTGATAATGGAGAGCACTTGAAGTGGTGAGAAGCGGTGGCCTCTACCGGGCTGCGACCCCTTGGGCTTCTAAGTCGACTCAATAATGAAGCGTCCATTACCTGGTTGATAATGGTGAGCACTTGAAGCGGTGAGAAGCGGTGGCATCCATTACCTGGCTGATAATGGAGAGCACTTGAAGCGGTGAGAAGCGGTGGCCTCTACCGGGCTGTGACCCCTTGGGCTGAGCCATCCACCCGACATGGTCTTGAATGGTACCGTCCCGGTAGACTGGGAAGACGAGATATGCCTCCTTGGTGCCCTGCTGCTGCTGCAATGGGGTTAGGGCAACAAGAGGGATTGCGAGAAGTGGTCCGAAGTGGTGAGAAGCGGTGGCCTCTACAAGAGGAAAGTTGCGACCCCTTGGGCTGAGCCATCCACCCGACATGGTCGTGAATGGTGCCGTCCCGGTAGACTGGGAAGACCAGGTACGCCTCCTTGGTGCCCTGCTGCTGCTGCAGTGGGGTGAGAGCAACAAGTGGGATGGTGAAAAGCGGTGAGAAGCGGTGGACCCTACCAGAGGAGGGCTGCGACCCCTTGGGGTGAGACATCCACCCGACATGGTCTTGAATGGTGCCGTCCCGGTAGACTGGGAAGACCAGGTACGCCTCCTTGGTGCCCTGCTGCTGCTGCAGTGGGGTGAGAGCAACATAAGGGAATGAGAGAGGCTTAGCCTGAGCCATCTACTATGCGGCATGGTCGTGAATGGTGCCGTCCCGGTAGACTGGGAAGACCAGGTGCGCCTCCTTGGTGCCCTGCTGCTGCTGCAGTGGGGTGAGAGCAACATAAGGGAATGAGAGAGGCTTAGCCTGAGCCATCTACTACGCGGCATGGCCGTGAATGGTGCCGTCTCGATACACAGGGAAGACCAGGTACGCCTCCTTGGTGCCCTGCTGCTGCTGCAGGATTGAAGGGAGTGGAATAGTGAGGGAGGGGGGTGTGGGGGGTGGGAGGGAGAGAAAGAGAGGATAGAAAGTGGGGAGGGAGGAGAGGAAAAGGAGGTCAATCAGGTTGGGGAATCACGCTAGAGAGTTAATGTGGTAAGGCAGAGCGGTAAAGGAACCCAGGAATTACCTTGGGTGACACTATGGCGTGTTCCACTAAAGGAAGCACGCTGGGAAACGAAATTGGGAGTTGACATGGCAAATCAGGAAGGGAGAGGAACCCAAGAGTTACCTTGGATGACACTATAGCGTGTTCCACTAAAGGGAGCAAGCTAGGATGATCGAGTTTTGATGCGACGTCGATTTCGGCCTTCACCAGCAGCAGCTGCTCCTTGGTCTGTATCAGAAACTTCTTTAACGCGTATGTGTTGTCAGCTGGAGGAGAGAGGGGGATAGAGAAAATAAGCACAGCAACTATTTTGTCTGTATCAGAACTTATATAACGCGTATGTTTTGTGAGGTGGACGAAGGATGGAGTGGGGGACACAAAGGGAGACAAGATTGTGGGAAATGAAGGTGGGAAAGTGGAGCATGTAAAAGGTTTATAGCGAGGATAAACCTCGTTAAGTGCAAAATCAGTTACAGGGGTCTTACGAGAGACGTATTTCCGTTTCGGTTTGGCTGGAACAGCTGGATTGACGTCCGTATCATCCGCTGATCCTGCATTTTCCTCTGACTTTCGGGGTTCTGCAGCCTTGTCATCACCGCTAGTCTCCACGTCAGCAGCTGGATCCGACAATGCATCTGCACCATCGACGGCGCTGCTGCGGCTGCTACCGGTTTCGCGAACTAGGTAAACGAAAGCGTAACCACCTTCGCCCAGGTTCTGCACGATGCGGAACCGTCGCCCGTTGACCTTCACCTCCTCGCCACTACTCACAGCATCATAAATCGCCGCCAAACCAGACCACGTGCAACCCATTAGGTCTTTAATATCCTTTAATTCCCTAATATCCTTAAAATCTTTCACGTTGCTGCTGTTCCGGGCAGCCCCGTGACGAAAAGTTTCGACCAGGTGATCGACGTTTTGCGTCACTTGTTTCACGCGTTCGCTTTCAAAAACGTTATCGACAAGCTTCTCTACGTTCTGTTTCACGCCTTGGCTACCTGCGAACACGCTCTCGTACAAACGGGACAGGCCCTCGGCCACACCGTGAGCCTGGGTCGGAGGCTCCACAGAACCACCCTGGACCCCTCTAGAACCGCTCTGGACCCCTTCAGATTCGCCTTGACCCCTGGCGAACACACTGTCGTACCAACGGGAGAGTCCTTGAGAGTTCATGTGACGAGGCTCATGCTCGCCGCGAAGATCGGAAAAATGATGGCGATTTTGTTGTTCTGGCGGACCCTAAAATGGAGCTTGAAGCCAAGACGCTAAGGCTAGTACCAGATATGCTACATGAGGTAATAAGCTATTGCAGCAGAGTCAAAGGTCACTAAAGCAAGCCTGGCTGTTGTGAGGAATGCCGCGAGTCTCGAGGGACTAGATCCTCCAGGGACCAATCTCATGTGGTTTTGTTACAGAGATCCAACGGCAGCGAATAACCTAAGGACGGGGACACTCGCATCGAGTTCGGCAATCGAACGTGCAAAATCGATCTGCTACCGCACTGAAAACCTGAAAAACGTTTCCTAAAGAAAAAAACCGTCAAAACCGAACCTACGGGAGGTTCAATCGCCAAAATCGAAGCGAGTGCCCGCGTCCTAAGGACGCGTCAACTCCGGCAAAATTTGGCGATCGATCCTGCAGAGGTTCGATTTTTGACTGGGTTAAAGTTGCAATTGCGGAATTTTAGTGCGGTTGACAATCTATATTGTACGATCGATCGCCGTTTTGCAGGAGTTGACGCGTCCTAACGGGATGTTCCCAAGGTGCGGCTTTTGGTGATGGTTTGCCCAGCCGTGATTCGCTGGTTTTGCTGGACATTTGTAGGTCGCAATTGTACGCGATTATAGCAATTCGTTCGCTTTGTGAAAGAAATGCTTGTAGCTCCTTTACAAAAGGGAGGAAAAGCACGTAAAACGATTCTTGGCAAAAGATCGACTCCACTGGGGATCGAACCCAGAATCTCTGGTTCCGTAGACCAGCGCCTTATCCATTGGGCCATGGAGTCACGTTCAATTTGCAGACGATAATTTATTCTAAAATGTTTATCAAGGGGTGCATTTCCAGTATCAGTCTTCCACAACCATCACGCGCCACCATGAGCAGCAGCAGCGCCGTCACGTCGCTCCGGCTCTCACTCACCCACCCGCACCTTCTGCAGCCTCGGTGTGGGTCTGAGGGACGTCAATCATGCACCAACCCGCGAGCATCGCTGACATGTCATCAACCCTATCCTCGCGATGTCACGCGTCGTAACCTTCCTGTCGTTGACTGGAGACGCGTCGCGGGCGGCGTTGCTTGCGCGCTTCGTAGCTCAGATAGTGGAACAGGGTCAAAGCCGAAATTCGCGCAGCTTTGCCTTCCTCAATCCCAGAATAGAGTATCCCAGTCCCATGGGTTACATCTCGCCTGCACGTTCAACGGACGTCACGTTCCCAGAGCAACTGAACGCTCCCTGGGAGCAAATGGAGGGAAATTCAATTCGGGTCAGATGAACGTTTTTCCTCCTGGTCGGGACTAGCTGCGCCAGGAAGGTTCGCCACTGTTTCGGCCGAGCCGGTATCTGAGAGTGAGGCGAGTAGAGCAGCGCGTGGAACTGTGCGGTGTAGATCCGGCGCGGATAATAACGAGACGGAGAATGACTCTAGCGCGGACGGGGAAGCCGGGTTGGCGGAGGCGGAGGGGGAGAAGGCTTGGTGGGCGCAAGGGTGGGACGTGCCGTGGGGGTGGCGGGAGACAGGCATCGGAATGAGCGCGTGGATCTCCAGGTATGTACTTATAACGAGTGTTGCATATAACGGGGATAAATGAAGGCTTGGTGGGCGCAAGGGTGGGACATGCTGTGGGGATGGCGGGATTCAGGCATCTGAATGAGCGCGTGGATCTCGAGGTATGTGCTTATAACGAGTGTTGCTTATAACAGGGAGAGGAGCAGTGTGCGTGCAAGTGTGGGACGTGCCGTGGGGATGGAGGGAGACGGGCATCGAAATGAGCGCGTGGATCTCGAGGTGTGTACTTATAGTGAATGCTGTTGATAAGGAGGATAGTGGTGTGCTCAACACTTCCGCCGCACCCCCTTCTTCTTCCACCCGTCTTCCCCCCTCCCCAACCCCTCATGTCTTTTCCCAGCTTCATATTTGAGGGCATAGCCATGCAGAACGCCTGTCTCAAGCTTGGCTGGGCCCCCTGGAGGGGCACGGATCTCGGTCACATTCCCACCCCACCCCACCCAATCCCACTCCACCAATCTTCCCCCCCCTCCCTCCTCCCCAGCTTTATCTTTGTGGGCATAGCCGTGCAGCTGGCGTGTCTCAAGCTCGGGTGGGCGCCCTGGAGGGGCACAGATCTCAACGACGAGGCGCTCTTTCTGCTCATCAACCATTCGTGTGTGCTTGTCCCCGATCTCCTCCCTTCCTCCGCCCTCCCACCCCCCCCCCAGCTTCATATTTGTGGGAATAGCCGTGCAGCTCGCCTGCCTCAAGCTCGGGTGGGCGCCCTGGAGGGGCACAGACCTCAACGACGAGGCGCTCTTTCGCTCATCAACCAGTCGGCTGTGTGTGTGCGCATATCCCCCCTTTCCGCCCTTCCTTCCTTGGCCCTCCCCACCGCACTTCCAGCTTCATATTCGTGGGCATAGCCGTGCAGTTAACTTGCCTCAAGCTAGGCTGGGCGCCCTGGAGGGGCACGGATCTCAACGACGAGGCGCTCTTTCGCTCATCAACCAGTCGGCTGTGTGTGTGCACATATCCCCCCTTTCCACCCTTCCTTCCTTCCTTGGCCCTCCCCACCGCACTTCCAGCTTCATATTCGTGGGCATAGCCGTGCAGTTAACTTGCCTCAAGCTCGGGTGGGCGCCCTGGAGGGGCACGGATCTCAATGACGAGGCGCTCTTTCTGCTCATCAACCAGTCGGTGCGAACGGCATCAGGGATAGCCATCGTGTGGTTTGTCGCGCGCCCCTTCAACCCACTCTCCACCGACCTTTTCCACTGGGGTAGGTCCATTCGGGGAAAGATAGGTAGGTAGGTGCCTGTTGGGGTAGGTAGGTAGCTAGGTAGGTGCCTTCTGGGGTAGGTAGGTAGCTAGGTAGGTGCCTTCTTGAGTAGGTAGGTGCCTTCTTGAGTAGGTAGGTGCTTCTTGAGTAGGTAGGCGCGTTCTGGGTTGCTCTTTCTGCTCATCAACCAGTCGGTGCGAATGGCATCAGGAATCGCCATTGTCTGGCTTGTCGCCCGCCACTTCCAACCACTCTCCACCGACCCCTTCCACTGGGGTAGGTCCCTTCGGTTCGGGAAAGGTAAGTAGGTGTTAGAAATAGTCAGTCAACACTTTGTACTATATTCTATATCGGTTAGGTTACTTTGTAGGTTGGGTGTAGATTTGTAATCCCAACCCTATCTGGTTGGGATTCCCTCGTAATCCTGCAAATCTGCCAACTCACCAATTGGAGATTTGCTAGGATTCCCATCCCATCCTTTCTCTAGCTTTGCTCAACCCAACCCTGTTTGTACTTAAGGCCTAGTGCCTTCCTTATCAAGTAATCAGTTCAGTTCCAATTCTATCATGGTATCGAGCTAGTAAATTCCGCTCACGCGGAATCCGATCCTTGGCGTCCCGATGGTTCTCTCCTTCTAGGCTATGCCTATTTCGGTTCCCGGCTCCTACGCTTAGCGTTTTTCAGAAACTTCACATCGTCGCTCCGGTCAAGCGCGCATTCGGCTTCCTTCATCGCGCATCTCGTTTTTCAACGGCGACATTCTCAGCCTTCGACTTCCTTCATCGTAAGCTTCTGGTGTTTATATCTCCGTGGCAATTTTTCGCATCTTCTTAACTTCGAACAGGTTTTCAGCGGCGCAGCAGAACAGGTCCAGCGGCGCAGCGGAACAGGTTCAGCGGCGCAGCAGAACAGGTCAGCGGCGCAGCAGAGAAGCAGAACAGGTCAGCGGCGCAGCAGAACAGGTCAGCGGCGCAGCAGAGAAGCGAAACAGGGGCAGCAGCGAAGCAGATCAGGGGGCATCGGCGAAGCAGCATAACAGGGTATATTACGGGCATTCTATTGACAAAAGCGCGTTTCGGACTTCCTCAATTTCCGCTACGTATCGGAGACTTTAGCGCTGCGCTCCGCGCGTAATGGCAACTTCAACTTCCACTCTCGTCGGAAACCTCATCATCCTTAACCTCGCTCCCAACGGCACGAGCACCAATTTCGGGGAGTGGTGCTATGGAGTGGAGAAGCACCTCCTTAGCTCGGAGCTCAAGGGGATTTGCCTCAAGGACATCCTCCTCAACCGCGGCAAGGGGAAGATGCCTCTCCCTCCCGATCCTCTCGGCGAAGGCGCTGCTGCCACAGCCAAGCTTTCTTTCGACGCTAAGACCACCAAGTATGAGACGGACTTCAGTCTCTGGGAGCAGGCGGATGCGGCAGTGATTAGGGTTTTCATCACCACCACCCCAGTTGAGTTAGTCAAGTCCTACCGCACCTTCCGCTCCGCGCATGACATTTGGAAGTACCTCCAGGATCGTTTTCATGACAAAACTGCAGTGGGAGTTGCAATCCTCATTCCGCGCATGTTCCAAATCCGCCTTGATGAATGCCCGGGCATGGCAGACTACATCTCTGAAATCCGCAACATCCATGAGGAGCTCAAGGACATTGGGATCACCTTCTCCGAACAGGCACCTGCTGCTGGGCTACTCGTCGGACTCACCCCGGCCTACAACGTCACCAGTTCCATGCTCAAGCAGCTCCCCACCAAGGAACTCACCTTTGAGAAAGTCGCTTCGACCCTTCTCTCCGCCGAAAAGGACCTTGCAGCCCAGGCATCCGTCAATGCTGTGCGCTACTCCCCTGGCATCCCATTTCGTTCCCAGCAGGGCCAGAGGCGCAACTCCTTTCCCCCATGCCAGTACCTCACTAGGAAGGGTCCACGTGCGGGGCAGAAATGCAATGGCACCAACCACCCTGAGGCAACTTGCTTCAAGAAGCGAGATGACGAGTGGTATGACGTCCACGGTGTCTCCAAGGACAAGCGCCCTCCCAACTGGGCACCACCCCGTCGCGTGAACCAGGTCGAGGCAGTGGAGGAACCTGCTCAGGCATTTGCTAGTGCCCCATCTGATGTTCGCCTTAACCTGTTATTCTCTGGTGCTGGTCTTATTAATGAGAAGGGGTCGCAGTACATCGGTGTTTCAACCACACAGGGAATCGAGTTCATACTAGACAGTGGTGCCACCCACACAGTGCTTAAAGACCAAAGTGCCTTCGTTCCCTACCAGGCTCCCACCTCACTCCTTGGAGCCGATTCTAGCTTCTCCATCCAATGCCATGGGTCCTCCTTAGTCTCCTGTCCAGCTTTCCCATCCGGCACAGTCACTGGCATCTGTGCCCCCACCCTCCGCTACAACCTTCTTGCACAGCGGGAAATCCAACACGCAGGCGTGATCACCATCTTTCCCAATGATGTTGACTACTGTGACATGTTTGACGCCAAAACCGGACTCCATCTTGCCCGCTTCACCCTCAACTCCAACAACCTGTACACACTAGTTGTACCTCCCGTTCAAACATGCTCCCTCAACAACCTTCCGCTTCTATCCTCAGACTCCCCCTCATGTCACTGCCGCCTCCTCACTGACAAGACTATGCTATTTCATAACCGCCTCGGCCACATCAACTTCCGCGCACTTTCAGACCTTGCCACCAAACAACTCCTTCATGGGCTGCCCGCCTCACTTCCACAACCCCCCTCTCTTTCTGGACCGCCTTGCCTTGACTTTGCACAGAGCAAGCTTCGGGAACAGCCCCATCTCCCCACTGAGTCCATCTCTACAGCACCTCTCGATCGCGTACACATGGACCTTTGGGGTCCAGCTCCTGTTCGTTCCCGTGGCGGACACTTCTACTTCCTTGTCATCGTTGATGACTATTCCCGCTATGTGTCCGTTCACCTTCTCACCGCCAAGTCTGAAGCCCCAGCCATCATCATGGAATGGGCCAGGCAGGCTCATTCACACTTCAAAACCAAAATCAAGATTCTTCACTCTGACGGTGGCGGTGAATTCCGCAACAACACTTTCAAATCTTTCTGCTCAACTGAGGGTATTCGTCAGACCTTCACTCTCCCAGACAGCCCTCAACAGAACGGTGTTGCTGAGAGCCGAAACCGCATCCTGGTGCAGATTGCTCGCTGCCTCCTCACTCATGCTTCCGCCCCTCCCTCTCTTTGGGGATACGCCATGCTCCATGCTGCCGCCCTCCACAATCTCCATCCTCATCCTCACCACACCCACACCACCCCCGCAGAGCTGTGGACGGGTCAAAAGCCGTCCGTCCGCCCTCTTCGTGTATGGGGGTGCACTTCCTATGTCCTCCTCAACTCCCAAGCCCGTCGCGCAGCTGGCGGCAAGCTTGCTCCGAAAACAATCACGTGCGTGTACCTCGGGCACAACTCGGACTCGCCAGACTACCTCTTCCTCCATCCTCCCACCAACAAACTCTATCGCAGCCGAGATGTTTTCTTCGATGAATCCCACCCATTCTACCCCTCCTCCACAGTTTCTCCTTCTCCTCTGCCTCCCTCTCTTACTTGGGCTGACTTTGACAGCCTTCCTCCTGCCACCACTCCATCTCCTCCTCTTCCCGCTCCCTCCACAGTTTCCGACCCCCCGTCACCCGCTTCCCCATCCAGCACCACGCAGTCTCCGCCGCTCCAACCCGCCCCCGAGCCCATTCCTCTCAAAACCTACCATTGCCGTCATCCTGCTGCTGCTCCTCCTCCTGATCCAGCTCCTGCTCCTGATTTGGCTCCTGCTCCTGATCCAGCTGCTGTTCCTGATGCTGCCACTCCACCTGCTGCTTCCCCTCCTCCAGCTCCGCCTCCCTCCCCCATCGCTGGTCGCACCCGCTCGCGCAAAGCTCCCAAGCCTCTTTCCCTTTCCATTCGTGTCTCTCTCAATCCTCCTCCTGTCGGGGGTGATTATTCGCTCATGCCCTCCCTTTTTGAGGACAGACATGAGGAGTTAATTGAGATTGACTCAGCCATACACGCACTCTGCTCCCTCTTTCCAGATATCGCAGATATTGCCATTGTCGCGGAGTGTGAGGCCTTCATTCACACAGGAACTTTCACAGATGTCTTTGCTCCCTCCGGCGTCAACATTGTGAAGGGAAAATGAGTTTTCCGGGTGAAACAACTTCCAGGCGAGTTTCCCGTCTTCAAAGCCCGGTACTGTGCCAAGGGTTTTACCCAAAAGCATGGACTGGACTTCTTTGAGACATTCTCTCCCAAAACCTCCCACACTGCGCACCCTTCTCGATGTTGCCGCTCGAGATGACATGGAGGTTGACTGCATGGATGTGTCCTCTGCGTTTCTGCAAGGGATCCTTCGAGAGGAAATCTACATGGAGCGGCCCAAAGGATTTCCAGCTCCCTTTCCACCAGGCACAGTATGGAAGCTGAATCGACCAGTCTATGGCCTCAAGCAAGCACCCCGGGAATGGCACAACAAGCTCAAGAGCACCTTAGGGTCCCTCGACTTTCACCCATCCACCTCTGACCCCAGCCTCTTCATCCGAGCAACACCATCCCGCTTCTTCATCTTGGTTTATGTCGATGACATGATCCTTGTCACCAAGGATCAGACTGAGCTGGCAGCAGTCAAAACCGCACTTGGTGAGAAGCTGGCCATGAAGGATCTTGGGAAGCTGACGAACTATCTGGGCATGGAAATCACACGTGATCGCACGGCCCGCACCATCACCCTCTCGCAGAAGTTCTACATCAACAATGTTCTGACCAGGTTCAAGATGCAGGAAGCAGCTTCAATGCCCACCCCACTCTCTCTGCAGCACCAACTCACTGCACCCTCTGTTCCCTCACCTGAGCCTTGTGATGAGGCTTACCCCGAGCTCGTCGGTTCCCTCATGTACGCGATGATGTGCACTCGACCAGACTTGGCCTATCCAGTCAGTGTCCTGTCTCGCTACGTTGCACCTGGTCGCTTCACGAGCCACCACTGGTCTGCCGCCAAGCGGGTCCTCCGCTATCTCAAAGGCACACAGGACTATGTGCTCACTCTCGGCGGCTCTTCCCCTGTTCGCCTTGAGGGGTACAGTGACTCGTCCTATGCTGATGACCAGAGTGATCGGCGCTCTTCCCAAGGGTATTGCTTTACCCTTGGCAGTGGGGTTGTCAGTTGGCGCTCCACTCGGTCGTCTTCCGTCTCACTGTCGACCTGTGAGGCAGAGCTGTATGCCGGGACCATGGCTTCCCAAGAGGCCCGTTGGCTCTCCTTCTTGCTGGCAGAACTTGGGTATCCTCAACCAGCCCCAACGCTTTAGTGTGACAACGAGAGCACCATTCATCTCACAAAGGACCCCGTCTTCCACGGCCGCACCAAGCACATTGAGGTCCGTCACTACTTTCTTCGTGAGCTGGTGCAGCGCGAGCAGCTGAAGGCTGAACACATTGCCTCCGACTGCAACCTTGCTGACTTGTTTACCAAGTCTCTTGTTCGCCAAGACCACTACCGCCTCCTCTCGTCCATAGGTGTTGGGCCGCCATGTGGCTGAAGTGTTGTCAGCCTAGGGGGTGTGTTAGAAATAGTCAGTCAACACTTTGTACTATATTGTATATCGGTTAGGTTACTTTGTAGGTTGGGTGTAGATTTGTAATCCCAACCCTATCTGGTTGGGATTCCCTCGTAATCCTGCAAATCTGCCAACTCACCAATTGGAGATTTGCTAGGATTCCCATCCCATCCTTTCTCTAGCTTTGCTCAACCCAACCCTGTTTGTACTTAAGGCCTAGTGCCTTCCTTATCAAGTAATCAGTTCAGTTCCAATTCTATCAGTAGGTACTATGTAGGCGCCTTCTGGGGCAGGTGCCTCCTGGGTTGCTCTTTCTGCTCATCAACCAGTCGGTGCGAACGGCATCAGGCATAGCCATTGTCTGGCTTGTCGCCCGCCACTTCCAACCACTCTCCACCGACCTTTTCCACTGGGGTAGGTCCCTTCGGTTCGGGAAAGGTAAGTAGGTACTAGGTAAGCTCCTTCTGGGGCAGGTGCCTCCTGGGTTGCTCTTTCTGCTCATCAACCAGTCGGTGCGAACGGCATCAGGCATAGCCATCGTGTGGCTCGTCGCTCGCCCCTTCAAACCACTCTCCACCGACCTTTTCCACTGGGGTAGGCGTTTTATGGGGGTAGGTGCCTTCTTGATAGGTAGTAGGTGCCCTCTGGGGTAGGCGCCTTCTGGGGTAGGTGTCTTCTGGAGTACTCTTTCTTTCCTCGAATCCTTTTCTCCCTTCCATTTGCATCATCGGATCAAAGATGGTTGTCCTGGGCTTGTAGTACGGCATCTTAATTGACCGTTTTGTTGGTGTTTTAAGTGCGACTTGTCAAAAATAGACAGGTGGGCTGCAAAGGCCTTTCGCAGCCTACCTGCCTATTTTAGACATGTAGGGCATCTTGATCGGCCGTTTGAATGCTTCTTTTCCATGATCAGCCATCTTCATCCTTTCACTCCGCTCCTCCCCTTCTCTTTTCGACCTGTTCAGGTTTCGAGGACCCATTCAGTTGTCGCAAGGGGTGGTTGTCATGGGCCGGCGTGGGCGTCTTGACTGCTGGGCTCGTAGTTTTCGCCACTGCCACCGCCACAACGGCACTATCAGGAGGGATTGACCCGCCTAGAGAGGTACTGCCGTGGTGCTGTTGACTTCTGTTGAGTTGTGTTGACTTTTATTGACTTTTGCCTGCCTTGTATCGGCTGTCCTGGGCGCGTGTGGACGACTTGACTGCTGGGCTCGTAGTTTTCGCCACTGCCACTGCCACCACAGCGCTTTCAGGGGGAATGGACGCGCCCAGAGAGGTACTGGATTTGACTTCCATTGAGTTCTGTTGAGTCTGTTTCTCCTGAATTACTTGTCTTGGGTTGGTGTTATTTGTCTTCACACTTGACAGCTGGGCTTTGGGGATTGGTGCACCCAGAAAGGTATTGCTGTTGACTTTCATTGACTTTTTTTGAATTGCTTGTTGGTTTTGTGTTGACTCAAAAACAACAGGGAGAGAATGGAGAGGTGGTGAGAACGGCTTGGCGACATTAACACCAGCTTGGAGGATAAGGCGAATTGGGGTTTTTTGGAGACGCTTCTAGAGTGCTTGCAGCCATTACAAACTACAGAGCTTGAAGCCACGCGTCGTGTACTGGCTGCAAGCACTCTCAGAAGCGTCTCTCAATAACCCCAATTTGCCCTTTCCTCCATGCTTGTGTTCGTGTCGCTAAGTTCGTCCCACGATCTCTCAATTCTCTCCCTGTTGTTAGCTGCTTTGACTCTTGGGTCTTGGACTGCTGGGCTCGTTAACTTTTGTTGACTCGTGTTGACTTCAACTGGTGACGTGCTACTGCTGTTAATTTTTGTTGACTCGTGTTGACTTCACCTGGTGACGTGCTACTGCTGTTGATTCTTGTAGCCTAAGCTCAGCCTAGAAGAGATTAGGACAAGATACCTGTTGGATTAGGACGAGTCACCTGCTGGATCCAGGTCGAAACTTTATACGTATGCTTCTTGTTGATGTTTTCTTCCACCAGCAGTCGCACGCGCGCCCTCTGCTCCCTGTAGCTCCCCGCACTCACTGCTGCCAGGGCTTCTGAGATCAAACATTCCGAGCAGCATGCTGCCTGGGAGAGGGCCGGACCACCTTCGTACTGTGGTTATTCTGTTGCTTCCAGCAACGCTCACACACACTATGTCTCTTAACGTGAGGACGAGTCACCTGCTGGATCCAGGTCGAAACTTTATACGTATGCTTCTTGTTGACTCATGTTGACCTCCCCCATCACCCATCTTGCCTTCCCCCCACCCCCGCCACCAGGACGCAGATGCGTTGGTGCAAGTTCTGCCCATAATCGCCGCCTCCCCTTTCAGCACCGGTGCTCTATTATTTGTTGCCAGTGTGCTCTTAATTCCCCTCTCTCCTCATCTCCTCACTCATCTCCCCATTTTCCCCTTTTTCTCCCGTGCCCTCCTCTCTCCATACCAGGACGCAGATGCGTTGGTGCAAGTGTTGCCCATAATCGCCGCCTCCCCCTTCAGCACCGGTGCGCTCATCTTCGTGGCCGGTGTGCTCGCCCCCATCCTCGAAGAAACCATCTTTCGAGCCTTCCTCCTCACTTCCCTGACAAAATGGTAGGTCATGCCATGCCATGCCATGCCATGCCATGCCATGCCGTGCCGTGCCGTGCTGTGCACTAGGATGGAGGTAGGTCACTTCCTCGTATTTCCTTTTAGCACTGGCGCCGGTCACTTCCTCGTATTTCCTTTCATCTTCGTCGCTGGTGTGCTCGCCCCATCCTTGAAGAGACTATTTTCCGAGCCTTCCTGCTCACATCCTTGACCAAGTGGTGAGTCGTGGCAAGTGGGTATGCCAATTATATGTGCCAGAGGGTAGGGCAGAGCGTAACCTTCCTCTATAGGTTCGCTCATATTCTTTGCCTCTCGCCTTCGTCGCCGGTGTGCTCGCTCCCATCCTCGGGGACACCATCTTCCGGGCCTTCCTGCTCACGTCCCTAACCAAATGGTGAGCTAGTTGCTCACTAGCTTCCTTAATGTGAGGTCGGTCTTTGCTGCTGCCCACATGACCCTCCCCTAGCTGTTTCTCCTCCCCTCACCCACTCTCTCCCTTCTTTTCCCCCCTTGGTAATACTGCGTTCCACCAGGATGCTTGTACCTCTTGAAGTGGCAGGGAGCGTGCATTCCACCAGGACGCCAGTACCTCTTGCCACATGACTCCCAACGAGTTCCGTGCCTCTGGCAGTCGCAGGCACTGCCTAAACATGATTGAGGCGTCTCATATCTCTCAGCCCGATCTTTTCCCTGTTTCCCACCACCCTGTTTTTCTCCCTCATTCCATCAGGATGCCTGTTCCTCTGGCGGTGGCAGGTAGTGCGTGCGCCTTTGCTGCTGCCCACATGACTCCCAACAAGCTCCCTGTCTCCTCCTGCCCTCTTCCCTTTTTTTCTCCCTCATTCCATCAGGATGCCTGTTCTTCTGGCGGTGGCAGGTAGTGCGTGCGCCTTTGCTGCTGCCCACATGACTCCCAACAAGCTCCCTGTCTCCTCCTGCCCTCTTCCCTTTTTTTCTCCCTCATTCCATCAGGATGCCTGTTCCTCTGGCGGTGGCAGGTAGTGCGTGCGCCTTTGCTGCTGCCCACATGACTCCCAACAAGCTCCCTGTCTCCTCCTGCCCTCTTCCCTTTTTTTCTCCCTCATTCCATCAGGATGCCTGTTCCTCTGGCGGTGGCAGGTAGTGCGTGCGCCTTTGCTGCTGCCCACATGACTCCCAACAAGCTCCCTGTCTCCTCCTGCCCTCTTCCCTTTTTTTCTCCCTCATTCCATCAGGATGCCTGTTCCTCTGGCGGTGGCAGGTAGTGCGTGCGCCTTTGCTGCTGCCCACATGACTCCCAACAAGCTCCCTGTCTCCTCCTGCCCTCTTCCCTTTTTTTCTCCCTCATTCCATCAGGATGCCTGTTCCTCTGGCGGTGGCAGGTAGTGCGTGCGCCTTTGCTGCTGCCCACATGACTCCCAACAAGCTCCCTGTCTCCTCCTGCCCTCTTCCCTTTTTTTCTCCCTCATTCCATCAGGATGCCTGTTCTTCTGGCGGTGGCAGGTAGTGCGTGCGCCTTTGCTGCTGCCCACATGACTCCCAACAAGCTCCCTGTCTCCTCCTGCCCTCTTCCCTTTTTTTCTCCCTCATTCCATCAGGATGCCTGTTCCTCTGGCGGTGGCAGGTAGTGCGTGTGCCTTTGCTGCTGCCCACATGACTCCCAACGAGTTTCCCAAGCTCGCTGCTCTTGGTATGTTTGCTGAATGGTGATGACACAATCTATAAGGTGGGACAGGAAGAGAAGAGAGAGAGAACTGCGGCCCACATGATCCCAACGTCTCGCTGCTCTTGGTATGTTTGCTGAATCACTTTGTTTGAGATTGATTTTGAGAATTCTCAAAATCATCTCAAACAACGTTTTCATCACATAATCCTGACTGTTCGGCCATGTTCAATCGGGGGGGTCTAGCTGTAGGTATGTGCAACTGTCCCAATGAGTCTTGACGACAGTTGCACATGGCTATGGACTGGAATCAAACCGAAGATGGCTCAGCGGTGTAATTTTGAGGCGCCTATTTTGAGGCGCCTACTTTGAGGCGCCTATTTTGAGGCGCCTACTTTGAGGCGCCTATTTTGAGGCGCCTACTTTGAGGCTCCTATTTTGAGGCGCCTACTTTGAGGCGCCTATTTTGAGGTGCCTATTTTTGAGGCGCCTCAAAAGTTTTGAAGACAACTGCACAGGGCTATGGATTGGAATCAAATTGAGTCTGGCTCAACAGTGAGGTTTGTGATATCAGTTTCAACACTTCGTCGGTACAATGCACCCTCCTAACAGGCTTACACTGTGGAACAGTGTTCAGAACAACGTAAAACCTCTCTCACATTTCTCTCACGCCTCTCACGTTACTAAGCTCTAAGTTCCTGCACTTGCTTGCAACCCCTCTCTCTATCCTCCCTCATTGCGTTGATGGTATAAGCCTTCACATATATCGGCACACACAACCTGCTCTCTATTCCTCCCTCATTGCGTTCATGGTATAAGCCTTCACATATATCGGCACACACAACCTGCTCTCTATTCCTCCCTCATTGCGTTCATGGTATAAGCCTTCACATATATCGGCACACACAACCTGCTCTCTATTCCTCCCTCATTGCGTTCATGGTATAAGCCTTCACATATATCGGCACACACAACCTGCTCTCTATTCCTCCCTCATTGCGTTCATGGTATAAGCCTTCACATATATCGGCACACACAACCTGCTCTCTATTCCTCCCTCATTGCGTTCATGGTATAAGCCTTCACATATATCGGCACACACAACCTGCTCTCTATTCCTCCCTTTGTTCCTCCCTGTCCCTCTCTTCTTTTTTCTCTATCCCTCTCCTTGTCACATGTTTAATGTTGGGATTCACCAATGTGCGCACGCGCAATCTCCCCTTCCCAACAATTCTGTTGCTTCTAATAACGCTCACACACACTGTCTCTATCCCTCTCCCCCCTTGTCACAGGATTAGTGTTGGGATTCACCTATGTGCGCACGCGCAACCTCCTCACGCCCGTCATCATCCATTCGGTCTGGAACTCAGGGGTCATCATCATTCTCACCTTGCTGCGGGTAAGACCTTGCCTGGCTTGACTGGTAAGGCGTTGACTGGCTTGATTGCCTTCCCAACCTCCTCACTCCGATAATCATCCATTTCGAGCGGAACTCAGGGGTCATCATCATTCTCACCTTGCATCAGTTGGGATGCTGGCACCCCCAAACTGCCTTTATTGCATTCCCAACCCCTTCTCTGGAACTCTGTTTATTGTCGATTCAACTATATGGAAATGGGGGGTTGTCTTTTCTCACCTTGCTGTTGGTTTTTCTTTCCGAACTGCTTGTTTCGTCTCAATTTTCACTTAGGTCGGGTTGGGGGGTAATAGTCGTTCTTACCTCACTGCTCCTCGGTGCATGTTGCTCCCCATCACTGCCTGTTTCAAGTAGACTCAACAATACACACATGTTTTCCTTGCCATGTTTCCTCTTGTTCCCTTCTGTTCTTTATTCAGATGGAAGGATATGATATACAAGAGCTTATATAAGCACATGGAAGTGACTTTTGACTTTTGACTCGCTTATATAAGCACATGGAAGTGGAAATAGAGTGGTTCAAGAAGAAACAGAGGTTACATTCTTAACAGTTCTATGAAAGTGCAAGATTTTATCTAACATCAAGCATTGCCGGTGTGTGAAATGTGGTGAAGTTGGTCTACACGAATCCAGAGCGCCTGTTTCCACTCATTAGAGTTCCAATCTGTTACACATAGTTCAGCAACCCATCCAACTATACACTAACGTCAGGTTAGGTTCTGTGGCAGTGTGGCAATGTGGCAATGTGGCAATGTGTCTGTGTGGACATCTCGTGTTTTGTCCATATTCAGCCCAGAAGAGGTACACTTCAATGGGACTAGAACTAGTACAATAAGAGTACAGTAGTAAAGAAGAAATAAAAGCCTCCTAATATAGAATTTTAAAAAGCCCCGTAGTGCAGAAGAAAGAAAGCATGCTGTACAAGTTCTACTGCCTGCGGAACTAAAGCCCTAGTCTTTCCAGTACTGGACAGGTTGCATTGGTGGCATGTTCATGTTCATGTAACATCCACATGATTTTCACGCATGCTTTGCTACTGAGAATCCCAACCAGCCCCTATCTGCATCCTAAACCAAAACATTGCCTCTCCACTTCACTAACCCGTTCAAAGAATCACATCGTGTGACGTCTTACCGTGTTCCCCTCGACGTCATTTTCAAGCCCTGTCGAAGCTCCTTCGCACCTCACCTGTTACATCTGCGGGTGTCGAATCTCCTTATCACGGATACCACGGCCTCCCGCTTCCATACAGGCGGCGGCTGTACATCTTGGGGGGAGACCAGGGGCGCCCGCTCCCCCACAGGCGGCGGCTGTACATCTTGGGGAAAGACCAGGGGCGCCCGCTTCCCCATAGGCGGCGGCTCATCTTGGTCTTTCCGCCCGCCAGTGCGCCGTCGTCGCGGGGAACAGTTGGCTGCGGCGGCTCTGCGCGGATCTTCTCCTCCGCCTGAGCGGCGGATTCCTCCCGCGGAAAGGGCTCGAATCCGCGCAGCTGCCCTCCGCTGCTGCTGCTGCGCGTGCGGGGCTCCATCGCGCGGAACCCCCTTTCGCGGGTATCAGGGCAGTAACCATAACTCTGCTTATAGGCATATTTATTTGACATGTCAGCAGTAATCCCGTCGAACCCACCCCCGTTACACTGCGGGTAACCAAAGTCAGCACAGCCGGAATTCCCCGGGCACTGCAGGGAACTAATCCCCCATTCGATATCATCCGTGCTGGCCTGGTCGTAGCCGCTTAACTCGTAACCGGAGAGGTCTATATCGCAGCAACGCGCGAGCTTGCGTAGGGTCCCCTGGCAGTCCTCGCAGTACAGCGCGCCGCGTTGAACGAGCGTGCACTTTCCCGAGCCGTCCGTGGCATAGCCGCCGCCGTAGAGACGTGCGACGCCATCCGTTGCCGTTACAGAAGCTCAGGACGGCAACGGTCTCGCTGGCCTCGTTTGCACAGTCGAAGTTGAATGCGCGAACCGGAGCGAGTGGAAGGAGGAGGCAGGAAAGGAGGAGAGTCGCGAGGATTGTTTGGAGAAACGCGGGAAGAGCGTTTCCGGCCGCCATCGGCGCTAGTGACGCGTCGTCGGCACCAGTTGACGAGAGAAACCGAAAAAAGCGCCGGAAAACTGCTATTCCGAAGTACTCGAAAACTAAAAGAAGGGACGTTGAGATTCTACTAACGAAAGACGAGGAATTTCGCAGAGGCGCTTATGATCTAGGTGAGAAATCTGTGCTTTATAGGAACCGGCTAGCTGTGAAAGTAATCGAGCTAAGATCTTCTGAGAAACAGGCTTGAGTGAAACAAGATTCGACGTTAACGTCGGAAGGGTTGCGTAGATGTTACATTCATATTTTACAGAACATGAGGACAAGCTATTTAATGTATTTATATAGCACCAAGTTTAATTTTCATGTGTTAACGAGTATGACAGGCTAGCTAGTTCTTGATTATGGAATAAAGTGATTGTTTATGATTTCTTTTCTAAAATATGGGTGAATTTATATAGAGCCATTGATTGTTTCTATTAAGTATTATTTAAATTTAGTGAACAACTATGTTTTATATCTTCAATATGATATTTTGTAACACTGAACTACCAGGTTCTTGTTCTAGCAAAAGTGTGTTTCCAGCTCACACAAATTCCACGTGATTATGCGTGTGTTCTCACGTGGCATCAGCGTTTGGTTTTTTGTTTTTAGATTCCAAGTGCGCAAGTTCTGTGCTGGCTTTCAGATTGCCCCATCGTTTTCGGGTTTCTATATACGAAGTGTTTCATGCGTCGTCTTTTTCTGGGAGGTGCGCAAATTCTGTTCAGTGTTTTCGTTTTGCCCCATCGTCTTTTTCGTGTTGTGTTTCATGCCTCCTCCCTTCTCCCATTTCGGTTACTGTAGTTTCTTGTTTGGAGGCACTCCCTCCCACCCCGTCATCGCTTCTCCTTCCCCACCACCTGTTGCCTCACCCTCCCACCCACCTCGTCATCGCCTCTCCCTCCCACCTTTCCATCGCTGCTCCCTCCCACCCTGCCATCCACTTTCCATTCCACCCCGCCATCCCCTCTCCCTCCCACCGCGCCGTCGCCGCTCCCTCCCTCCCGCCGTCGCCTCTCCGTTCCTCCCGCCGTCGCCTCTCCCTCCTCCCCGCCGTCGCCTCTCCCTCCTCCCCGCCGTCGCCTCTCCCTCCTCCCCGCCGTCGCCTCTCCCTCCTCCCCGCCGTCGCCTCTCCCTCCTCCACGCCGTCGCCTCTCCCTCCTCCCCGCCGTCGCCTCTCCCTCCTCCCCGCCGTCGCCTCTCCCTCCTCCCCGCCGTCGCCTCTCCCTCCTCCCCGCCGTCGCCTCTCCCTCCTCCCCGCCGTCGCCTCTCCCTCCTCCCCGCCGTCGCCTCTCCCTCCTCCCCGCCGTCGCCTCTCCCTCCCACCCCGTAGTCGCCTCCGGAGACAGGTGCACGGGCGCAACCGCGAGTTGGTGCGCGAGCGCGGGTTGGTGCGAGAGCGTGGGTTGGTTTCTGGCACCATGGTTATCAGGTGTGTTCCCGGTCCTTTCATCCTCCCTCCCCATCTTTTTTTTTTTTTTTTTTTTTTTTTTGCTCTCGTCGTAAGTCTTGTGTCTTAGTCTCTTGCATTGCAGTCCCATTTGAAGTAGAACGAGAGGGGTTCGCGAGGAGAGCGTGCGCACGAGAGCGAGCACGCAAGAGATTGCGTGTGAGAGCCAAGAGAGGGTGGTAGAGCGTGCAGGTGGGAGCGTGGGATGGAGAGGCAGGAGCGAAAGTACCCGTGCGCGCTTGTGCCATAGGCACTTGCGCTTAGGCGCTTGCGCCGTGGGGGCGCGATTCGAGGGTGCTGGCACCGTGGGCGAGTGAGAGAGCGCGTGAGAGAGCACGTGAGAGAGCGCGTGAATGGCGCGTGAGAGTGCGCGTGAGAGTGCGCGTGAGAGTGCGCGTGAGAGTGCGCGTGAGAGAGAGCGTGAGTGAGCGCGTGAGGGAGCGCGTGAAAGAGCGCGTGAGAGAGCGCGTGAGAGAGCGCGGGAGAGAGCGCGGGAGAGAGCGCGCGAGAGAACGCGCGAGAGAGCGCGCGAGAGTGCGCGCGAGAGAGCGCGCGAGAGTGCGCGCGAGAGAGCGCGTGAGAGTGCGGGTGAGAGTGCGTGTGAGAGAGCGCGTGAGAGTGCGCGTGAGAGAGCGCGTGAGTGAGCGCGTGAGGGAGCGCGTGAGAGAGCGCGTGAGAGAGCGCGGGAAAGTGCGCGCGAGAGTGCGCGCGAGAGTGCGCGTGAGAGAGCGTGTGAGTGAGCGCGTGAGTGAGCGCGTGAGAGAGCGCGTGAGAGAGTGCGTAAGAGAGCGCGCGAGAGAGCACGTGAGGGTGCGGGTGAGAGTGCGCGTGAGAGTGCGCGTGAGAGAGCGCGTAAGAGGGCGCGCGAGAGAGCGCGTGAGAGAGCGCGCTAGTGAGCGCGTGAGAGTGCGGGGGAGAGTGCGCATGAGAGAGCGCATGAGAGTGTGCGCGAGAGAGCGCGCGAGAGAGCGCGGAAGAGGGCGCGTGAGAGCGGGTGAGAATGCGCGTGAGAGTGCGCGTGAGAGAGCGCGTGAGAGAGCGCGTGATAGAGCGCATGAGGGTGCGCATGAGGGTGCGCGTGAGTGTGAGTGCGAGAGTAAGTGCGATGGAGACTGCGATGTTGAGCGCAAGTGTGATCGCGGGTGTGAGTGCGAGGGTGTGAGATGGTGTGTGCGAGGGCAAGTAGGAGAGTGAGTGCAAGTGTGAGTACGAGGGCAATTGTGAGCATGAGTGTGGGTGTGAGTGTGAGTTGAGTTTGAGGGTGCGGGCGACTTTGTGTGCGTGTTTTTGTGAAAGCGTTCGAGTGAGTTCGAGAGTGAGCGCAAGCGCGAATTTAAAGGTGAGTGCGAGGGTGTGTGTGTGTTTCTGTTAGTGTGTCTAAGAACGGCTGAAATTAATTATGTGACGTGAGTTGTTGCGAGAGTGAGTACGAGAGAGTGCGAGGGTGCGAGTGCGGTTTTGAATCCGATTGCAAAGGCGGGTGTGACTGCGAGAGTGAGTGCGCGCATGCACTCGAGGGTGAGTGCAAGGGTGCGTGTAAGTGTGTGTATGGGGGTGAATGTGAGAGCAAGTGCGAGGATGAGTGTTTGGGTGAGCGCGAGGGTGAGAATGAGAACGAGAGCAAGCGTGAGAGCAAGTGCGAGAGTGAATGTGACTGCAAAAGCGATGGTTAGTGCGAGCGAGCGTGAGTCATAACGCTTATGAGCAAGGTGCAAAAAAACGGCCGAAACTTTGAAATTTCGGCGTAAAAAACGGTATCGTAGTTTTCGGTCGTAAAAAACGGTTTAAAACGGTAAAACCATGTCATTTTGTGCTGGTGCAAAAAAACGGCCGTTTTTTTCGACCGAAACTTTGAAACCATCGTTGTAACTCATAATTAGTGGATTTTTAAAGGGGATAGGAATTGCTTGCCGTTTTCACTGTCGATTTCCGACATGCGGCTCGTTGAATTTTCTCGAGCCGCGAATTCAGTCTGAACCGAGTCGCGCATTTCAACATTTGACGACAGGATTACATGTTTCGCCACATGCGGACCGTTTTCGCGCCAGCTGACAATGTGTTTTCTCGCATACAGAGGGTGTCGCAATTTTCGCGCAATGCTAATGCAAAGCGCGACCAATCAGAACACCCCTACAGTGTTGGTCGAGTCGCCCCGAATGCAGCATTTCGCGATCGCGAACCGAAGACATTACCCGCTTCGTTAATTTTTCAATTTTTCGCGCTAGAAGCGAAACTGTTTCGCGCATGCGGGGTGTGTCGCAAAGCGCATGCCACTCGAGAGTCGCGACCAATCACAGCAGCCCAAGCCCAATCTTCCGAAGTGAGTTGCTCATCCTCAACTCGACAATGCACTTCAGCTCCCGAAGTACAAAGAGGCTCTGTCCAGGGCCTCTTAACTCATAGCCACTGAGGCTATTCCAGCACTCTCTCTATCAGATTAGCCACCCCAAGCCTTGCACCATGGTTCGACCGCAGTCACGCTATTGGCTGCGCGTTAGGAAAGAGACGGCGGAAGATGGTACAATCACTAGCTGCGTGTGCCTTCACTGCCATTTGCCGGTAACCCCAAACGCAACTAGAATTGGGGAGCACCTTTTAGGCACTCCAAGCTCCAAGCATAAGAACATAGCGATCTGCGAATCAGATTATGCAAAGCAGCTGCGAGCGTCGTCCGTCGAGGAGCGTTCGTCCTTCGAAGACGGCTCTAATGGAGAGTCTACGTCCACTATGGAGGTGCAGTTACCCCGGCGCTCACGGCAGCGGGACATTCGGGAGATGGCCGACGTGACAGCGCGCGGACGCTTGGACTACCTGTGGGCGGCTGCTGTGGCGGAAAACGACCTGGCGTTTAGGACGTCTTCGTCTAAGGCGATGCAAGCGTTTGTGGATGCAGTCGCCGCATTCGGGAAGGCCTACACCTTACCTTCGGCACACAAGGTGGCGGGCCCACTTCTTGTCAAGTTGAAGCTCGACACGGAGGAGCTCATCAAGCCAATCAAAGAGAGTTGGCCGAGAAGCGGATGCACCCTCACGATGGACGGTTGGACGTGCCTCAAAAGCCGGGGCATGATTTGCGTCATCGCCCAAAACGACACCGCGCCGGTGATTGTGGACTGCGTCGACTCCAAAACCGCGAAGAAAACTGGAGAGTACCTCGCGAAGCTCATCCAACATGCGATTTGCGAGGTGGGGGACAGCCACGTTGTCCAAGTCGTCATGGACAACGCGGCTAACAACAAGCGCGCGGCAAACTTGCTCAAGGAAGAGTACCCGCAAGTCTTCTTCATCAATTGTGCGGCCCACGTCTTGGACCTCATGCTTCACGATATGGGGAAGGTCAAGGCGGTGAAGAGGGTCCTCAACCAGGTGCATCGGGTTGTGATGATGGTCAAGGGGAGTGCCTCGGCCGTCACACTTTTCCGTGAGTTGTTTAGCAAGCTAGCGCTTGTCCGCCCTGGTGCTACTCGTTTTGGAACGCAAGTGATCATGATCAAGCGTTTCCTTGAGGTTAAAAAGGCATTGAGGGAGATGGTGATTAGTGAGGAGTGGAAAAGTGTAGCGGTGGCGAACACGGAGGAGGGGCAGGCTATACGTGGTCTCCTCTTGGAGGAGACGTTTTGGGACTCCGTCACGGCCATTCTCGGCCTCATGAAGCCCATCTACGAGGTGCTACGCATCGTTGACCGGCGGTCCCTTGTGATGGGGAGCGTCTACGGCCTCATGCTTGAGGCTACGGTCAAGACCAACGAAGCGGCAACGAAGGCGGGTAAGTTCAATGTATTAGACATATGAATCAATTAGTTCAACGATTCTGTCCCTACCCTACACCAGCCACTCCGACGCTATTACTCACCATGAATTTGTTTCTCTTACCGCGTGCGCAGCTGCCCAACTCTCCAAGAAAACCGGTTTGCTTCCGAGAAACGAGAAGGCCGCGTTTCTTGCTGCGTTTAAGGCTATCATAGCCAACCGATGGGACGAACAGCTGCACAACCCCCTCCACGCCTTGGGGTGGCTTCTAAACCCGAAGAATCAGTACGTAGGCGAGATTCGGGAGGATGCGGAACTGAGGGCGGGGGCTGAAGAGGTGTTTAAGGCAAGGGGGGGCAGTGTTGAGATGCGGACGATGCTAGCGGTGCAACTAGCCGCTTTTCACAAGGGAGAGGGGAAGTTGGGGTCTGTGGATGCGCGGTGGGCTGCCACCATCTTGGTGGAGAGCGGGAGGCTCTCCGCGGCTGAGTGGTGGGCGCTGTATGGGGGTGAGGTTCGTGCTTTGCAAAAGATTGCGGTGATGTTGCTCTCCCAGCCCGTGACTTCATCCGAGGTCGAGCGGTACTGGTCCGCTCTCGCAAGGGTCCAAAGGCGGGACCGCAACCGGCTGAATGCCACGTCCATGACGGACGTGGCATTCGTGGCATTTGGCCGGCGAGCTCGGGAGTCCTATGACAAAAAAACAGAGGCCCGTGCTAAGCTCTACAGCGAGTTGAGCAATGGATCGCTGCAGGAGGGCAGCACAAGCGTGCTTCTTTCTCTTCCGGTGGAGGCGGAGGTGGATGAGGAGGAGGAGGCGGGGGGGGGAGCCGTGTACCATTGACTGGGACACCTTCGGGAACATTGGCAAGCGGGTGACCAAAAGGAAGCGCGCAAATCTTAAGAAGAAGAAGAGTGCTTCCAAGGGCAGCGGGTCCCGCAAGGGGAAGGAGAAGGTTTGTGAGGAAGAGGAAGAAGAGGCGGAGGATGGGAGCAGTGATGATGACAGTGGTCCGGATGAACCAACCAAGCGGAAGAACAAGGGGGTGAATGCGTGGGATTGTAGCGACGGGAGTAGCGGGGAGGAGGAGGATGACGAGGAGGATGAGGAAGAGGAGGAGGATTAGGACTAAGTAGGAGGAGGGGGCTGAAGGATAACTTATCGGTAAGTGGAGGGGGCTGAAGGGTAAGGACTAGATCAGAGGAGGGGGCTGAAGGATAAGGACTAGGTAAGAGGGGGTAGAAGGAGTAGGAGTAGGTAGTTAGGAGGAAGGAGGAGGGACCTGACTGTGTTTGCTCATTTCTGACTAGTTTTTAGCATGTTACTTTCCGTTTGTATGCTGCCCTGTTCTGGAATCATCTATGAACCCTTTCTGTTTTTTTTTTTGGCACAAAAATCTCCAACAAAAAAACGGCCGAAATTTTGAAAAAACAGCGTAAAAAACGAGCGTTTTAAACGGAGCGTATTTTACCCCAACCGAAATTTTGAACCTAGCTTATGAGTGCGAGGGTAAGTGCCAAAGTGAGCGTGTAGGTTCTTATGCGTGTTTATATGAGTGTGTCGAAGAAAGTTGGGAGTATTTGTGCGGGTGTGAGTGGGTGCGAGATTGAATACAATAGTGAGTGTGAACGTGAGTGTGAAGTTGAACACGAGGGAGGCTGCAAGGGATCGCATCATGCTGGCGTAGTATCTGTGGTGCCACGACTGATACCAGTTTACCTTTGTAAGTTGTGAAAACCATTGCTCAATTTTTATTGATCCATGCGTTCTTAAACAGCTCTTTCTATTGTGCTTGTTTCGTCTCTAGTGCATGTGTGAGCTGCATTCTCTGTTTTTGTTCTCTTGTAGCAATGCTGTGAGGTGTACTCTTGGTTTTTCTTTCTTGTGCAGGGTATGTGTGTTGCATTCTCTGATTTTGCTTTGTGCAGGGCGCGGGAGCTGCATTCTTTAATTTTGATTGGCGGAGAAGGGAGACGAGGGAGGCAGTGGGAGGGAGATGAGAGGGGGAGGGAGGGAGGGAAAGAGGGAGGGAGGGAGGGAGGGAGGGTTGTAAGGACGGTAAGGGGTAATTGGCTAGCGATGATTTATGAATAGCCGAATTTCATGATGGTTGCGTGTTTATTATTATCTGCATGTTTCTGTGCTTGTTTGCGTGTGTGTCAGTGTGTGCGTTTGTGTCGGTGTGTACGTGTGCTTGTGAGCCTGTGTGTGAGATATGTACAGTTGTTTGTGTCTGTCTCAAGGCGTGTGCTGAAGTGCCTCGTGTATGCAACTCAGGTTGTGATCGCCGGTGGGGCAATCGCCTTAGTGTGCCAGACCAATCTCTGTTGCATCATCGATGCATTTTAGCATTCTCCCCAAGACGCTTCAATTGTTATGCGTTGTCGTTTTTGTTATGTGCTCGTTCATTTTTGTTGTAAGGTGTGATGTTAAAGTGTGTCGGGCCTGCAATTGAGGTGGGGATCGTTGTTGGGGCAGCGTTGCTCGCCTTAGCATACCGGATCCATCGCTATTGTAGTACCGATGCATTTTAGCATTCATTTTATGACAGTCACAGTTGTCATGTGTTGTCGTTTTTGTACGTGTTCAATGGATGCAAGTACCATAATGTGCATCCACTGTGTTTCGTCTCGTCAGTTCTGCTTTATGTAGGTAAAAACATGACGACCAATTCTTCCAGTCGCCGTATTTATCGACGATTATGGAATGATTGGTTACATTTGGTTTCACTTTTTTGGAGACTCGTATGTATCAGTGCCGTCATCTAGACGTGTTTGGAGCACCCGTTTTTTTTAAACGTTAAATCGAGTGCTTCGGGCGTTGGAAAAGAGACAAAAACTGCACTGTTCATTTGAGTCGACCGAAAAAAGTGCTACCAATTGTAAAGGGGTTGCTACGCAACCCAAAAAAATGTTGCTGGACCAGTTACCCCCATCGATTTATTTGCCCATGTCAGGGGACAGAATTCGGGTCGGGAAGGGTGAAGGTATGCAAGCCAAATCCCCACGCTGAGGCGCTGAGAAGAAATGAGTGAGAGTCTGGACAGCAATGCACGGAATGCGAATCGCGCCGAGTCACCTTGTTCGCCGTGCGATGCCACGCACGCATTTCTCGAGTCATGCTGTGCCCGTGCTCTTCGCAAGCTCATTTTGCGCGTTTCTTACCGAGTTGTGCAGGGCTGGAGGCTGACGGGACTGGCCTTAGCTGCTGCTCTGTTACGTCGTGAATGGCTGACGAAGAACTTCGCGAAGAGTTTCTCTGCTGGCAGTATCGTAACTGACGTTGACTTCATTGAGAGATAACAACTTCGCCCTTTACAACCGAATTCGCTAACTGTGAGTAGATACTACCATCATCCATCCACCTCCCTAAGCGTGGCTTGGATGAGCATTAGTGGGCATCCACTAGGTGTAGAACAATTCAAGTACACTCATGTTCTACCTCCTCGTTCTAGATGTGTGTTTTTTCTTAGGCGCCTCAAAAGAACTCCTCTTTGTGCAAGGCCCCTGATGATGTAACGTTCTTCCTTGTTTTCTATGTGTGTGTGACTACACTGCAATTTTTTAGATGTCTCCAAACGGTTATTCCTTGTTCTAGATGTGTGTGTGACTGCACTGCACGATCCTCGCCTTGTGCGCATGCATGCAGATGACATGGAAGTGAGGGTTGTAGGCACTGTTTAGCAGGTAGTGGGCACTGGACACTGGGCACCGGGCGGGCGCTACCAGTGTGTGACTGCAGGTTCCTTGCCTTGTGCGCATGTACGTTGATGACATGGAGAGGGGTGGGACTGGTCGGAGGGAAGTGGGCATGGGCAGTGGGCAGTGGGCGTTATGCGTTTGCATGCTGTTGTGCTTCTGCGCATGCATGCAGACGACATGGAGGTGAGTGGTTGTTGCGGAGCTTTTCATTGGGGACCTTACTGGTGGGGCATGTAGGCACTGCATGTTCGCATTGCATGCACAGTTCCACCGTGCATGTGTGTGCGTGCACTGCATGTTGCTGGCGTAGAGGTGGAAAGATAAATAACCAAGCCATCTCATAGTACCCACATATCAGGCGCCGGGAGATTGTGGCTATGCAGCGTCTGCCCCAGCGCCAGCCTCTTACATTTCTTTCCCATCTATCAGGGAATTCTGGCGCTGGGGAGAACTCTTTTCCTGCGTGATGACTCTCCCACACAGCTCTGGACATACAAGAGGTTGGAGCAGGTGAGATCGTAGCCATGTTTAGAGTGGTCCTTTTTCAAGGTGTCTCAGAACCTACCATCTCATACACCCTCATCGTCCATCCGTCCCACATTTTCGTCTCCCTTGCAGGACAGTCAAGAGAATGATGCCGGCGAGATTGTGGACATGTTCGGAGTGGACTGTGCCACTGGTATGTGGGTCAATATGGGACTTGCAATGTTCATTGTTTGCTTGCGTGGGGTGGGCACTGTTTCATTGTTAACTTTTCTTTTTGCCACCTCTACCATGACTTTGCATGCATGAACGTGCTCGATCCAGGCATACCATCTATGCTTGTTGCGACACCACATTTACCTAATTCTTTACTCTCCCTTGCTCTCCCTCTCTTTTCCTGACACCCTCTCATTTCTCCCTTCTACCTCACTCACCCAACCACCAGCATGTGGCACCTTTACGTATGGCTAGGTGTGCTTCACAATGACCGGCACGATGAACGTGGCCTCTCATCATGCTATGTCTGGTTTCTTTAGCACCATGCTTAGTCGCTCTTACTCTTGTCTATGTCCTTCATCCACCCACCTGGCGACAGCTTTACAGATGGCTCGGTGCACTTCACCATGACTGTGTATGACTTCCTATGCACTGCTTGTGCATGCTTACCTGAAACCGCACCCACCAGGCGGCACCTTCACAGATGGCTCGGTGTGCTTCACCATGACCAGCATAAACGTGCCCGCCCATCTTGCTATGTGTGGTTGCTTGCTATGGCACCACACTTACCTACCGTCTCTTGTACTCTCCTCTTATTCACACCCACCAGGCGATACCTTCACAGATGGCTCGGTGCGCTTCACCATGACCAGCATGAACGTGTGCCTGAGCCCCGAGCTTGTTGCCTGCTAGTTACAGCACTGCACTAATCCTCTCCGCTACTCTCCTTGTGCTCGATTTGCTCCTCACCCATCATCTACCAGGCAAGACCTTCACAGACGGATTGGTGCGCTTCACCATGACCAGCATGAATGTGTGCCTGAGTCCCGGGCTTGTTGCCTGCTAGTTACAGTACCGCACTAATCCTCTCCGCTACTCTCCTTGTGCTCCATTTCGCTCCTCACCCATCATCTACCAGGCAAGGACCTTCACAAACGGATCGGTGCGCTTCACCATAACCAGCATGAACGTGCGCAAGCCCGTCATGCCTCTCTCCATCACCCCAGCTGCAAAAGACGGCGAAGCTGAGGTGAGGAGGACTAGAAAGCTACCTTGTTAGTCAATATGTGCAAATGGCTTCTCGATTTCTAGGCACAAATTGACGCATATTATTTTTTTAGACGTCTCAATTGGTGAACGGCATTTAGACTTGAGCCGAAGTGGTGCAGAGTGATAGGTATGCAGTCATTCTGGAGCACGTGATGGCAGTGGAAGTGAAGGCAGTAGTGGAGTTTCAAGGAACGATAATTTGCAATATTAATAGGTGAGAGCCGGGAATTTGTTCTGGGGGAACAATATCTATGTATGTTGGGATTTCACCCACAGAATCTTGAAGCACATGAAACGCCTCTCAACGACATGTTTGGTTACTCAACAAGCATTTGAAACGTCTCATTTATGGTTTTGGGGATTTTCTTTTAAAATCTTTCAACAACAAAATTA